TATTATTACAACATAAAATGTAAGTAGATCTATTGTAATTGTTAAAATGTTATAGTAGAATAACAAATACGTACACACGAATACATGTGTTTGTTGGTTTATAATTTTCCTTACGAAATCTACAAAGTATCTACAATAATAGATATATAATGCCAAGATACAATAAATTATAATAAAAAAATATTATTTTCAAAACTTAAAATTGTACATAAAATATGTTTGTTATAGGATACTATCGCGTCTATTACACACATCATAAAAACGAAGTAACTCTTTTTGATCATATCATTTGGCATGCATCATTACCTGTTTTAAATCGTGCTCAAATTATTGATAACTTGTATTATTTTTTTGTAAAAGAAAAACAACTTTTTATGTGGTTCAGAATCTTAGACTATTTACAAGACGAACACGAGTATGAAGTTTGGTACCCAATGATTAGAATTTTGGAAGACATGTCAACTTACTTTCCATTTGCTGATCTGGATGTTACTTTCAAGGTTAATTAAAAACTAACATTATCTTTGTTTGTGTAATTGTAAACATATATAAGAACATATATATATATATATATATATATATATATATATATATATATAGTAGATGCAGATCTTTTTTTAGTCTGCATAAGTTACTTTAAAGTATAAAAAATCATTGGTTATATTGTGCTTTTTTATAGTCTGTAGACTATATTCTAAATTACTCATCAAACACAGATTCTTGTCACATTATTATCACTACAATTTCTGTAGAATACTTCCTTATACATACACTCTGTTTCACACTCAATTTCTCTCTCTGTCTACTTTTCTTTCTTTTTGTTGTTGTTCTTCCTTCTAAAACATTTTGTTTCCAAAACGCAAAACTAGAAAAAATATTAGTATAGAATTCTCAAGCAAACTGTATAAAATTAGTATTATATCACTGTTAGGCGTCACTAAGATCTCTCTTAGAAAGACTTCTTCCTCACATTTTATTTGACAAGTATGTTACAACGCCATTTCACACATGTTTGCGATACGAAGTATTTAAATGGGCGTGTCTCTTCAGTAGTATTATGTGTCACTCTATTGCTCATGAAGAACTGAAACACATTGATGAAAATATTTCTGCCATCTCTGGACAGTAAGCAAATATTTTATAATCACGATTTTCTTACATTAAATACTCTTACTCTTTGTTATGTATTGCGAACAGTTGTTTAAAATCATAGTTTTGTGATTTCTGTAAGGTATAAAACTAAAACAGGACTATGGCAAGAATGGATTTATTGCGATGGATTAAGAAACGTAACATTAGACGTACTGGAGAAAGTAATACTTACTTCCAAGTTGAAGAACAATTTTAATGACGCAATTTTGAATTACATCCCTTGTCTAGGATTCAAGACAGTTTTAAACTTTTTAAGCGTTAGACACATACAAAACAAGACTTATCTACCATTACAAGACTCCGGGCATGTAATTCTCTTNCACTCTCTTGTTGCNAAACATGCAATACATGGNANTGTGATCGANTTATTANANAATTTCTCTGTCATAAAACCTAGGTGATAATTATAGTTCCTTTTCGTTAATATACATAACAGTTGTAAATTTCTAACAACGAACACTTGGTAGTTGTACGAAGGTATATAAATATGTAATATCATATTTTTTTCTACAGACATATGAAATCGGTTACGGCATTATGTATTATTATTAACCATGTATACTCTCAATCTGCTTTGNACACGGTAAGTTCTGGTTTTCCAAAANTCANCANNGTATNCATTTTGGTATTAATTNTATTGTTACNAANTGTATANTTCATACGCATAAATAATATATANAAGTACATATCGGAAGTGTNATATTAAGAATTTATATTCTTTATCATAGTAATTCATGTCAGTGGCGTAGGACGAAAAGATAGAAGTGGACGATTTGCCGTCTTAACAAGAGCGCGGGGAAGCAATATGTAAACGCGTTTTTATTGCTTGAAATGTGAGCGTTATTTAATGTAATGCAAAAAAATCTCACTTATTCTCACTTTTTTTAATTGCGTACTAGCGGCACAGAGTGCTTCTTCAAAAAATTTGGCGTTTTTTTTTATATAATATTATTTAGTTTTCGGTATAGAATGAAAAGACTGTTGTGTCTTTTCTCGCTTATTATTAATGCGCTTTTTTTCTGGAAAAAATCACGTTGTGCAAACACAAACGAGTCGTTTACACTTTTAACTTTACAGTCTTCAACACAGACACCTATGTGAATATATAGCTAAATGTTTTACGATCGAGACATCACTTCTTTTTTGGTTTTTATAAAATATTAGTGTTTTATAAAAAAACTAAAGTGTAAACTAAAAAGATGGTTTCCACTAAATTGAAACAATTATTTGTTAGGTATGGAAGTAAGTATTATCAAAGTAACTTTATAAGGAAGAGAAAAAAATATCGCTCTCGACGTTGTTTTTTTTTACTACGCCACTGATTCATGTACTTAATATAATATTTTATAATTATACAATATGATATATTTTGTTATTACAATTTGTTATAGATTATCCAGTTCACAAATGCTTTTTATAAACCTGAAGCCCCATGGATTGCGCTTGTTAGTAATACAAATTTACAATTTACACAGTTTTGATTGTATTATCTTTTAATGTTAAAAGTTGTCGATAATGATAAAACTAACGACGCATGAAAGAAACCACTTTTTTTTGTTTTTGAATCGATTCAGTACTGATCAGTGAAGCTAGAAATAATCCTTCAGTGAATTAATGTAAGATGTTGAAGTTTTGTGGTAGACGTTGTTCTGTCTACAAGTTACAAAGGTTTACAAAGTATCGAACCTACTCTTTTTGTTAATTTCATAAATGTAAAATATGTGTCTTATTCTTTAAGAAGTGTAGAAAATTGTTTGTATGTGATTGTTTGGTTGTGAAAGGTTTATTACATAAAAATAAGTTTATGACTATTTGTTGATGTATAATACTCATAATACAAAATTTTACAATAAGCTTTTTGTTGACTATTTTAATTGAAAAAAACAAATTTTGCAGGTGCTTAAAAAAGTAAATCTACGTCTGTCTCAAATCAAGAAGCACAAAAACAATTTCATGCAACTTTTGGACATATCAAGTAGCGCAAAAGTAGAATATGACGTTTTCAAATACGTAATAGTTTGTACTTTGCATGTATGGTTAATTGCTTATCCAGTAATTATTTTCAGATCGCGTTATTATAGATATATAGATAGTATAGATATATTCATCTAGATCTTTTTTTACATGATTTAATTCTTTAAATGAAATATGTGCAAACTGGGATGATGTAGATAACAAATTTTGAGAAAAAATAGAAACATGATCACGTAAGATTATATATAAGTGATCACCTTACGTCAAATTTCAGATCTAATTTTATATGATCATACACAATTTTTTATATTTATATATGATCATATAAAATCAGAGTGCGCCAAATTTCGGATTCGATTTTACACAATCACGTCCGACTTGTTTAAAATTTAATATAATCATATAAAACTATACCCGAAACTCATATATATTTTAACATGATCACACGTTTTCCATTTTTTCTTAAGATTGCTCAGATTGTGCTAGTAATCTGATGTCATATAATTCCGTCAAGCTATGTTTTCAGTAGATGATAAAGAATGTAAAAGCTCTATCAAAAACTCCCACTAAAAAATTTATTGTCATACTTTCAACATATAATAATGTGTAAGGTGCTGACTGCAAAAATTGTATATTTTTTCTACTACATGTATAAATCTTTTTTAAATCGTAAGATAAGTTTTCTTTGTTATATTAAAGAGCTTTACCTGATTTTTTCTTTCCTTTCCAACCCAAAAAAAACATTATATGATATAAAATAAATAATTGTTTTTGAAAAATTGTAATTTCTGAATATTTTTATTCAAAAAATATACTTATTTAATAACAAATATATGACATTCTACTTTTTTTTTTGCTGATATGGCTTAGTTTGTTTATCATGATTTGCAAAACACTTTTAGAGGACATATGACGTTCACGCTGTATGTATATACCTCATGTACACGATAGTTTGTCTACAGTTTTCGGTGATCCTTTGAAAAGGTAACATTGTGCCTGTATACCTATATGTATAGTATCTAGTTTGCAGAAATGAAGAAATAATTTTTGTTCAAAACTCATTTCAATTATCGAAAACCTTTATAGATTACTGCACATAGTAAGTATATAGCAGAATGTTTATGTACTTGTTTCAATTCTTGAACGCTTTCGTACAAAACTCACAAAGTCGTTGCAGTTACTATGTTTTTGATCACCTGTACACAGTAA